GGGGGGGGGGGGGGGGGGGGGGAGGGGGGCGTGCTCGTGTTTTTCATACCTTAGTCGTGAGACCAATGACCACGCGTCCTCGAGAGGACGGAGCATTGTTTCCACGGAACCGATCACCGATTGCCAATCGTTCGCTCCTACTTTGCCAAAGGTGGATCATGGGGGTGCTCGCCGGTTGCTCTGGTGTTGCGTGTTGACGCCTGGCCTGGTCATGCGTGCATGATCCCTTTGGTGACGGGGACCGGGCGACAAGAAGCGTTCGCTACGGCATCCACCCACATGTGCCGACGCGACTAGAATAGTTGTGACCTGAAACGAAAAGATTTTTCTCCTATGTGCATGTGGTGTCACCAATGTTTTCCCTACGGTGCAGCGGTCTGTTGCGTCGAACTTGCCGTCCGCTTCTTGCCCCACCCACCCTGCTCGCGACACACATGCCTTCCACAACGTTCCGCTTGTCCTTGCATCACCAGACAAAACTACCCCCTGCTACCCCTTTCTGTCTTGCCTATCCACTTTTATATACGTATTTCTTCATGACGACCGCACGCAAAAAACTAGCTACCTCCCATGCTAAAATAAGAGTACTCTCCCCCCAGGCGTGTCGTGGCCCTCGCTGCACGAGCTCTCCTACCGAGTCGCCTGCGAGCGGCTCAAGGACGCCGGCCTGCTGACCGGCTCCGTAGACGACATGATGGCGGCAAACGTCGGCGCCGTCTTCATGCCCCACGGCCTCGGCCACCTGATCGGCCTCGACACGCACGACGTGGGGGGGTACCCCGAGGGTGGGCGCGCGCGGGACTCCCGGCCGGGACACTCGAGCCTCCGCTGCGGGAGGGACCTCGCCGACGGGATGGCGATCACGGTGGAGCCGGGGATTTACTTCATCGACCACCTGCTGAACAAGGCCCTCGCGGACCCCGAGGTAAGTGTGTGCTGAGTTTCGTCGTGTGTCCGCGTGGGTGTTTTGGGAAAGTGTATGCATGCGTTTGGAGGAGCTTGTTTTTTCTGGGTCCGTTTTATTTCGCGTTTCTTTGGCGTCTGGAAAGGCGTGCCCCTCTTTTAGGGTGGTTGACCTGTGGCCACGGCAGGCGTCCGAGTCAGTTGGACTAGTACGGATTACAGTTTAGAAGGTTCTGAGAGGAGGCCGGAACGGTTTTTAACGTGAAGACGACGACAACAACAACATATACAATCACGCAGAGACTACCCGTTCGAGATATAACCACAGTCGGAGGGGGTGTTTTTACCATCAACGTCGACCGCGCTAACCGGCTGACCAATGAAAAGACGCCCATGCCACCGGGTAAAGCCGCGGTCCCTGGATAGGGACCAAAAATGGACAACGGGTGAAGGGGGTGAAGATGAGATGCAGAAATTCGTTGTGGTCGTACATCCATTCTCGAGCATTGCTTGGTTGGTTTTATGGGTTAGCCGACAGGCAAAAAAATGTTTATGAACCCTCACGGCCAAAGGCTTTACGACCTAAGAGATATGCCCTGTCAGCTTCACGTTCGGGTAGTTCTGGTTGTCGCCTCTGTTCTATCAAGCACAGCATTGCCCCCTTTGACCCCAATGACGATCGTTTTCGGGCGGCACAAGTGCATTTCTCGAATACCAACTTCCGGAATAAACAAACATCTCCCGCTACCCTCATCACCTGTCTGTACCGTGCCCTAACAAAAGGTGGCGCCGTTTCTGGTGACCAGCGAGCTCGCGCGATTCCGTGGCTTCGGGGGGGTGAGGTTAGAGGACGACGTGGTAGTCACGGCAGACGGTGTCAGGAATCTCACCAATTGCGCTCGGACCGTGGAAGACGTGGAGGCTGTCATGGCCGGCAGGATAACCAACCGCAACCAGCTCTTCAAGAAGTGCTACACGGACGCCTGAGCGGGAGGGGAAAGCGCGAGGGCGTCGCCCACGTGCAGGTCGATTTTCGCGGGAGAACTGGAGAGTCTGGCCGGTGTGTGCGGCTTTTGGACGTTTCATCCTCTTCTGTGGCGGTGCTTTCCGAAGTCCTCTCGGTTTTTCTAGCGATAAACTCGTGTGGCCGAATGAGAGCGTCGACAGGTGGCCATGGGTGGCAGAACTCATCACCCCGATGGGGTTGGACAAGGAGTATGCTTGCGTGGACGGAAAAACGTGTACCGAAAATGGCGGCGTTGGAACTGTCCCGTCGAGAGCTTCCCGACCACGTATCGTTTGAATAGGAGTGGCTGTCCTTTTCGTCTTCAAATATAGCTAGCATAGTAGTCGACCTCTGCAAATCGGTCCCGGGCGCGTGACGCCTCGAGTCACCTACGATAACGTTTGCTGTGTGCAATGAAGACACGCCAGAAACCGGGACAACAGACCGAGCGCGGCCACGACATTCCCACGAGAGACCCCCCCCCCCTCTCGGCGTGTGGTCACGGGGCCTCTGCCTTTAGTCAAGGCTGAAACGTGCGAAGTCAACTGCGCGAGTGCCTCAACGCCATCAACACAGCAAAAAAAAACGAGCAAAAGAGAAAAACAGGCCGGAGATGATTATCCAAAATGCAAGGCTCATGGACAACCAGACGTTTTCAACGCTACCACCCTTACCGTGATGTCCTACACGACACGGGTGCCTGGTGGGTCATGCCTTTCTCAGCAACGGGAGAAGAAAAAGCCTCCAAGCTATGTAACTAGAAACCGCCGTGTTTCACCTTTTCTCTCTCTCTCTCTGCTGGGTGTATCTACATCGCGACCGAACTCTCACAAACCACATTCGATGTTAAGATCAACGTTGGAGACGCGCGTGCGTGAAGGAACCCGCCGGCGCGCGAACCCACTGCCTACCTAGTTCGGGGGCTACGTGGCGTGGGAGGCACATCATGGGTGCACACACGAGTCTCGCGCCAAGGCGACCGAAGCGAGGTGACACACGTGGTGGTGGGCGGGGGAATGTCTCCCAGTTCGGGTGAACCTATATCCAAGTCCACTTTCTGTTCTGTTCGTCAACCAACGCCTGCAGCTGCCTGTTGCGCCGATACAATCGATTGCTAACCGTTGTGATTGCTCCTCATCGCATGTTCCAAAAATGCCTGATGTCGGTTGCTAACCGTTGTCAACTGCTCCTTCCTACTGTAGAACCACATGTTCCAAAAATGTCTTCACTTCAACAACAAGGTCCGAAAATTCAGGTCCGTCGCCGGCTAACGTCTCCAGCGTCTTCCGCCCCCCAACACCCTCGAAAAAAAACTTGGATGTTGTCAACTTCTTGACAGGGTCATGTCAGGGAGTCGATGAGAGAGCTTCGCATGCTGTTGACGATGTTGGAGGGCCCCTGCTCGTTGAGCTTGAAGATGGACTTTAGGACGCTGTTCTCCGTAGATGTCGTGTCCAGCCCGCAAAACGCCGTCCAGTCGTTCGCAACCACCCCCGCTCCTAGCACGTCAGACCTTCTGTTTACTGTTCCGGCCATTAATGGGATCTGGAAGGGAGGTCGAAAAAGAAGATGGCGCCGTTTGGAGAGGGGGGGGGGGGTACAGGTCAAATGATTCATCTACCGATACGGGTGGTGGCCATGAACACCACGAACGTTTGTGGTTGCGAGCATGATGCTCTTTTTCAGAGATGCTCAAGTGAAAAATGTATACCCCGCCAAAGTAAAACGAAACAGAATGTAGATCGGGACAGCGCACAGCACGGCAACGGCAACATGCTGAGCACAAGAAACGCGTGACCCACTCCGACCCGGTATGTGTGGGTGATTCAAAACACAGAGCTGGCGCCCCAACCGTGTGTGCCTCGCATGCCCACCGGGGGAGCTCCTACAAAGTACCCACGAGTAAGTGGCAAAAACGCTCCCGACAAGCGTTGGTTTCCATGATTGAAGGGGTTGTAGAGGATACGTACAGCGGGCATGTTTTAAGGAAAAAGCAAAACTACCGAGAGAAGTGAACGAACAACCACGATCACGTGCTCTATGTGGAGGGAAGGGAAGAGGCAGACTGGTCACCTGGAGCAGGCTCGACAGCTCCTCGATGTCCTCGATGGAAGTCCGCGGGTGCACCATGCCCCCCTGGTTGGTGATCACCGCGTAGCTCCCGACCAACGCGTTGCCCGCGATTGTTTGCCTGAACACCTCAACCCCAAGAACATCAGCTACCAAGTCCTCCGTCTCCTGCCGCGATTGTCGGTAAGGGCACGTGTTGAGTCGTCAGCGAGGAGGGCACAATGTTGTCAAGTGTCAACAACGCCTGGGCGTAAACAAACGCCACTCTCGACGCAAACTCCCATCAACGGAGGTAGACGTAGGACGCCCCGCAAACATGAAGTACACAAGGCCACAACAGACAACACCCAAGCGGCGCGCAGAGCACCAAGTGGTCGAAGTGCGGCATAATTTCGCGATCGGGTGCAGAACCTTAGCAGAAAATATACACACGATCACCCTGAGAAACAATCCATTTGAGAATATACGCCAGTCTCTCTCTCTCCCCCCCCCCCAACCCACCATAGGGAAGGGAGA